GGGAAAACCTCACCGCAATCTGCTGCAATACACACGTCGGGGTCACCAAATGTCGCTATAGGACACAAAAGAACACACGCTCACACCGTTCTCAAGGTGAAAGAGAAAAAAAAGGCCGTTTATTTTCTGACTCCAACATTTATAGTTTTCCAAAAGTGACAGTGGATTGGAGGGTGACAGTGGCACCTCTCCAATGCCACTGGTTAAACCAACAGTCCATCAACTCTCTCCTCCTCCATAAAGGAATGCAAAACAATGAGTTATTTACAGAAAGTGTGTGAGAAAATTCACTACAAGAATGTCAACATCAGAAGGCTTAGAAAATCTTAAAAACTCAGGGTGACATTTGTGAATAAAAGATGGGGCTCAGACCAGGGCTCGGGGCACAAGTTTTCACGAGAGCTCCTCTTGCTCTCTTGCTCTCGGCATAGGAGGAGGACAGTCGAGCTGTTGTATACCACCGGGATGTTATAAATACACATTATAATATTGGTTTTTCGCAAATATTAATGGATGCTATATGTAAAATGTTAAAGTAACTTTGCTATAAAGATATAGTTGGGTTTTTTTATTTCTGTTGTTAATTAAACTTAGACATGGTAGTGAAATAGCTGATATAGTATGCTTGTGTTAAAATGCCTGCTTGGTTGGGATAACATTCAATGAACATGTGATGGAGACCCCTGCTACTGACATGCAAATTATCAGCACCCACCGTCTGTAGAAAATATGGACCAAAGCCCAAACTGGAGGTGATAACAAGAACGGACCAAAACCACAGCCAAGAAATACGCATGGTCTAAAAAGGTGGACCTAAGGAGGAGCCATGCTAAACAGTTCTTGGAACATGTGAACTAGTTTAGGGGAAATTTTAGATATGCATAATTGTTTATGAATATGCAGTAGGCTGATGCAATAGGAAAGGTATTTAAAGGCTCTCCGAAATAGCAGGTGTGTTCTCAGTGGAATGCCAAGCACCCAGCCGTAAATCTTTGCTTTATTGTCTTTGTCTTCTATTGTCCTTTATTAAACTTTTACATTTTTACAGGAGAGTGAACCTCGTTTTTCACAGGGAGAATCCACTGCCACCGCGAAGCCCAGCCCTGTACTGCTTCTTCTTCCTTACTGTGGGTGAACCTTTGCTCATAAGAGCAGTCGTTGCACTGGGACCTTATTAACACCCAATCTAACTGGAAAGGACCCTCACCATCTATTCGGGTGCCTCAGGGGAAAACTTGGGATCCTGAGCCCCTCCCTCTCTGCAGGAGCCTCTCCTAGCTGTGTTCAGGAGCCTGGCTGCCACTGTCCAGCCCCACCGTTTTTTTCTGTCACTGCTCCAGGTTCTTCACTACACTGTAACCAGCACCCTGTGTCTGCTGGGACACCTCATGGCTTCTGCTACAGCTGCAGAGTTTTTGTTACATTTTGCTTGTCACTCCAGGGTCTGCTCATCGCTGGTGTTCCAGCTTTCTGCTTCCAAGGTTCCTGCTACAGCTTATTTTGCTATCTGGAGGGGCACTGGGACTGATTGCCCCCCCCCCCCCGCCCCCTCCTTCCCCCCGAGAGTTTGTAAAGGAAGCCCTTTTCTATCTCTTCCGCTGGCTGCACCTGCCATTACGGGGTGAGAGAGAGGCAGCTGAGCTCATGCCACAGCTACCCCTGCAGCCACGGGAGAATCATCACACCTGACCTGCCCAGCCAGGAGCCACCAGCACCCCTGCCAGCTGTGATCGTAACTACACCAAAGGGGAAAGTGCTTGACAGCCAAGAGAAGGCTGTTACTGGGTTTCTGGTTTTGTTTGTTGTTGCTGCTATTGTTGCTGTTTGTTGCCTTGTTATATATATACATACTAGTAAAGAACTGTTATTCCTTTTCCCATATGTTTGCCTGAAAGCCCCTTAAGTTCAAAGTTATAATAATTCAGAGGGAAGGGGGTCATATTTTCCATTCCAAGAGAGGTTCCTGCCTTCTTTGGCAAACACCTGTCTTTCAAACCAAGACAAGTGGCTAAGCCACTATCCATTATATTTGAGAAATCATGGCAGTCTGGTGAAGTTCCCATGACTGGAAAAGGGGAAACATAACCCCAATGTTCAAAAAGGGAAATAAGGAAGACCAGGAAACTACAGACCAATCAGTGTCACCTCAGTGCCCTGCTAAGGCAGGGTCACCCAGAGCAAATTACACAGGAACATGTCCAAGTGGGTTCTGAATGTCTCCAGAGAAGGAGACTCCATGCCCTCCCTGGGCAGCCTGTTCCAGTGCCTTGCCACCCTCACTGTAAAAACAAAGTTCTTTATGATGAGGTGAAACTTTTGCATTTTAGTTTATGGCCATTGCTCCTCATCCTGTCACTGGGCATCACTGAAAAGAGTCTAGCACCATCCTCTTGGCACCTGCCTTTGAGATATTTATATGCATTAATGAGATCCTGTCCTGGGGTGACTTTATGATCCCCAATCGTCTGTTCTGTTTATGCTGGATATTAAGTTTTTCACCTTTAAGACTGGTTCTGAGACCAAAGGAGAGGCAGAAGCACGCAGTTTGTTTTCAGAAACTGCATTCAATCCTCCACATTCCTTCTCCTGGACTGTGTTGTCTGCAGCATGAATGGACAGCAGGAGAGAGCTCTCCATTGCTTTTTAGTTAGTTTTTAGCTAGCTGAGGCAGAGAAGTTCCCCGGACTGTGTTTTTTCTTTTTCTTGGAACTGTTCAAACCTGCTCTGGACTGAAAACCCAGAAGAGCACTGGGAGCTCACACCTGTCACCCACCAGGGCCTAGGCCTGGGCCACGGCATTTTCCAGCACTGAAGAGACTGATAAGAGACTAAGAGAGCCAAGCTACACTCCACGACAAGTACTTTCTGAATTTTCCATCTCTTCAGAACAAGAGGTTCCACTGTTTAATACTATTAATTTTTTTATGCTTGTGAATACTTTGCTTGTTAAATAAACAGTTTTTTCTACTTTTCTCTGAGGAAATCTTTTCCCAAACCAGTAGGGGGAGGGGCTGCTTGAATTTGCTTTTCTAGAGGGACCCCATTTGGAGGTTTCCTCCCAAATTTTGTCCTAAACCAAGACAGATCCCCACTCAGTCTTCTCTAGACTAAACAGGCCCAGCTCCCACAGTCTCTCCCCATAACAGAGATGCTCCTGTTCCCTCATCATCTTTGTGGCCTTCTGCTGGACCCTGTGCCTGACAAACTTGGTGGCCTCTATTATAGGGTTACAACATTGGTGGATGAGAGAAGAGCGACTGTTGTCATCTACCTGGACTAGTGTAAAGCATTTGACACTATACTGCACAACATGGTAGTCTCTAAACTGGAGAGACATGGATTTGACAGATGGACCACTTGGTGGATAAGGAATTGGCTGGACAGTTGCACTCAAAGAGTTACAGTCAATGGCTCAATGTCCAAGTGGAGACCAGTGATGACTGGTGTTCCTCAGGGGTTGGTATTGGGACCAGCGCTGTTTAACATCTTTGTTAGTGACATGGACAGTAGGATTGAGTGCACCCTCAGAAATTTTGCTGACAACACCAAGCTGTGTGGTGTGGTTGACATGCTGGAGGGAAGGAATACCATCCAGAGGGACCTGGACAGGCTCCAGAGTTGGGCCCATGTGAAATTCATGAAGTCCAACAAGGCCAAATGCAAGGTCCTGAACCTGGGTTAAGGCAATTCCAAACATGGATACTGGCTGGGCAATGAGTAGATTGAGAGCAGGCCTGCCAAGAAGGACTTGGAGGTAGGAGGTATTGGTGGGTGAGAAACTGGATATGAGCTGGCAATGTGTGCTCACAGCCCAGAAAGTGAATCACATTCCAGACTGTATCAAAAGCAGTGTGACCAGCAGGTCGAGAGGTCATTCTCCTTTTCTACTCTGCTCTTGTCAGACCCCACCTGGAGTACTGCATCCAGCTCTGGGGCTTCCAGCATAAGGACGTGGACCTGTTGGAGTGAGTCTAGAGGAGGCCATGAAGATGATCAGGGGCTGGAGCACCTCTGCTATGGAGACAGGGTGGGAGAGCTGAGGGTGTTCAGCCTGGAGAAAAGATGGCTCTGGGGAAACCTTATAGCAGCCTTCTAGTACCTAAAGGTGTGGGAACCCAGAACATCCCTCTGGCTGTCCAGGACACCAGGACCCCTGCCAGGGGGCTCAGAAGCCCTGGCACAGAGCCCAAAACACCTGTGGTTTTGATTATGACACATGGAGAAAATTACCAACCTTATATGAAGATCAGCAAGCCACAACAGTTTAGGTAGAATAATAGTGAAGTTATCACGGGGTGAAAAAGTAGATTTTGGGGTTTTTGGTATGGGGGTTCAGGAGGCAAGATGGAGGGAACTGGGCATGTCCAGCCTTTCTCCTTCTTCTTCTTGGCCTCCATCTTCTGCTGTGATGTTGGCCCTTACAGATTAGTTTAGAGTAGAAGCTCACTGTCTAACATAGGTGATAGGTATTGGAAAGTAATTGTAAACATTGTATATGCAGTTTTTAGTATAAAGACATAACACCACCCCGGAGGCAGGCAGTGTGCCTGGAACTGTCCTGCTGGATGGACCTCAGCAGGGCAGGAAAAAATTTTTTATAGATAAGACGCAATAAACAACCTTGAGACTGAGAACTGAAGAGCTCTGACTCATTCTTCAAGCACTCAGGCTGGGAAAAGAGACTTTTAACATTCTCGGGGTCACAGCAACCCGAAAGACCCCGAGATAAAGGGGGCCCACAGGAAAGATGGGGAGGAACTCTTTAGCAGGGAGTATAGTGGTGAGGGGAAATGGTTTTAAACTAAAATAGGAGAGATTTATATTAGATGTTAGGAAGAAATTATTTACTGTGAGGGTGGTGAGACACAGATTTCCCAAAGAACTTGTGGATGCTCCCTCTGTGGAAGTGTTCAAGGCCAGGTACATACATCGGAAATAAATTGGAGACAAAGAGCAAAATTCAGAAGGATAAAAAATTTCCACATCACTTGGGTACTTACAGGATCTGCAGTTGTCAGTGGTCTATAATCCAAACTTCCCCTGAAATCTCTTATCATACACATAATTTCATAATTTGGATTTGTAGCATCAACATCCTAGGGAAATAAGCAACAGAATTTCTAATATACTTTTCCCCTGAAATTACCAAATTTCAATAACTTCTAAATTTATTTGTAAAAAAAATACACATTAACTGAAATGTTAATTTTTATCCAAAACGCCATAAATGTCTCAACTGCAAGTTTAATGCCTTTTTCTATTCTGATGTAGCTAATTTACTGGTCATAAAACACAACAATTATATACTTTCTATTTCATATTTTTGGTTGGCATGTATTAGAAAATACTTTTTAATTGAGGAGTCATTAAAATTCTACTCAACAAAGAAATGACTACTGCTTTTTGCCAGAATCTTCACATTAAAGAAACACAGTTAAACATCTTGCACAACAGATAACATATACAGTCAGTGCTTCTTAATCTGAGATAAATTGGTCCAATGGACAAATGGATACAAACTATTATACAGGTACAAAACAGACTGCAGAGTACAGTGCAGGTGCCCCAGCCACTCTAAACACAACCCTGCTGCATCCAAGTTGGTTAAAGGAGGTTGATCCTACTTGCTGGTCCTGAGTTAGCTCCTACAGTTACTTGGATGCATTGGAAACTGTTCTAAAACTCCTAGATCCCCCCCCCCCCCCCGAAAAAAAAAGCAGAATCAATCCAAATGATACACAGAAGGCTATATTCAGGCACACAAGGTCTCCTGTCCCTAAACCTGGAACCATGAGTATCTGAGTGAATGGACATATAAGAGGCCATGCACAGAGCCCCTCTAAACCTTGCAAAGCCTGAGCTACTGAGCCTACTGTGGGCTGTGCTGGTTCACTGCAGAATCACTCAAATGTTCTTCCTGTCCGTTCTCCCTGCAACTATCAGTTTTTACCCCATTTCAGAATATGCTGCTGATGCCATGCATAGCCAGCTCTGGTGCTCAGACCTTATTAAACTTTGCATGGTTTCCTACAGATGAGCTAAAACTCCTTCTGGATCATATCTGATGATGGGCACTTTCAGAAAGTACTGCATTAGGGTTAATAAGCTGAAATGTAGCCAGCTCATGTCTCTACACCTGTAACACAGCTGATCCACACTTCAGACAAAACTGTGCCCTGGTAATCAGAAGCTGACTGTACCTTTAAGTTGTTCACACTGACTACAGTGAACTAAAAAATACTTATAGTAAGTCAATAATAAATGTATTCCTGCTGAAACATTTCCTTCTAACATTCAGAAAGGGGTATTGCTTATTATGGAAAAGGTATTTGCCTAATATTCTTCAAACTCTGTTTAAAGGTCTTGCCCACCAGATGCCAGTGCTTGGCTAATTTTTGATGCATTTCACAAAAACAACAGAATATGCAAATGATGGATGAAAAGGGTTGTCACAGAAGTGATAAAAAGAAAATTTAAGCTGTAGCACCACATCAAAGAATTTTAACATATGGAACAAATTATTTGCTCCAATTATTTGCTCCTCACACATAAAGCCATAGTAATGCTTTGCATTTGTTTAAGTGAATGTAAATTAGAGAACAAGAATTCAAAATAAGTGATTTTAGGTAAACTTAGAAAAATCATTAAACCATGAAATAAATTGCCTGAATTGGTGGTGGTATTTCTTGTGTCACTAGCAGATTGGTAGTTGTATTGGGTTTGCATGGCCAGGTTTCAGGTAGAGGTAGGGCTACAGAGGTTGCTTCTGTGAGAAGCTGCAAGAAGCTTCCCCTATGTCAAATGAAGCCAATGACAGCCAGGTCCAAGATGGACTTGCCACCAGCAATGGCTGAACCCATCAGTGATGGTGGTAATGCCTCTGTAATAAAATATTTTTAAAAGGGAAAAAATTATTGCGTCAAAGTACTTGGGGCCAGAGAAGAGTGGAGTGAGAATATGTGAGAGGAACAACTCTGCAGACACCGAGGTCAGCAGAGAAGAAGGGGGAGGAGGTGCTCCAGGTGCCAGAGTTGAGATTCCCCTGCAGCCTGTGGCAAAGACCATGGTAAGACATCTGTGCCCCTGCAGCCCATGGAGGTCCACAGGGAGCAGAGGTCGACCCACGAGTCCATGAAGACCCACTATGGAGGAGGTGGATGCCCAAAGGAGGCTGTGACACCATCTGAAGCCCACGTTGGAGTTGGGTCCTGGCAGAACCTGTGGCCCTGTGGAGAGAGAAGCCCATGCTGCAACAGGTTTACTTGACAGGACTTGTGACCCTGTGGGGGATGCCTGCTGGAGCAGCCTGTCCTTGAAGGATTGCACCCTGTGGAAAGGGATCCACATTGGAGCAGTTTGTGAAGGACTGTAGCCTGTGGGAAGGACTTAAGTTGGAGAAGTTTGAGGAGGACTGTCTCCCATAGGAGGGACGCCACGCTGGAGAAGGGGAAGGAGTCCTGTCCCTGAGAAGGAAGCAAAAACAACATGTGATGAACTGACCATAACTGCCAATTCCTGTCTCCCTGTGTAATTGGGGGAAGGAGGTAGAGAACTGAAAATAAAGTTGAGACTGGGAATGAGGGAGGGTAGAGGGGAAGAGGTTCGTAGGATTTGTTTTGTTTCTCATTATCCTACTCTGAGTGGTAATAAATTCAATTAATATCCCCAACTCGAGTCTGTTTTGCCCATGATGGTAATCAGTGAGTGATTTCTCCCTACCCTTATCTCAACCCATGAGCCTTTCCTTATATTTTCCCTCCCCTGTCCAGCTGAGGAGGGGAGTGATAGAGCAGCTTTGGTGGGCACCTGGCATCCGGCCAGAGTCAGCCCACCACAGGAGTATCTCTTAGGAGAGACTAACACATACACATACAGGCTGCCAACAAGACTACGCTGCTAGTTTTGCTAAAGCTTTTACACTTCTATGACAGAAAGTCATTTAATATTAATTGATTTTCTCAAAAGATTAATGTAGTGGGTTGACTCCGGCTGGATGCCCAGGCACCCACCAAAACTGCTCTATCATTCCTCTTCACAGCTGGAGAGGGAGAGGGAAAAGAAAATATAACAAAGGGTTCATGGGTTGAGATAAGGACTGGGAGAGATCACTCATCAAATACTGTCATGGGTAAAACAGGCTCGAATTAGAGATAATAATTTAATTTATTACTAGCAAAATCAGAGCAGAATAATAATAAGAAAATTAGGACCTTAAAAACACCTTCCCTCCACTCCTCCCTCCTGCCTAGATCAACCTCCTTCCCCCAGTGGCACAGGGAGACAGGGAATGGGGGTTATGGTCAGTTTATCATATGTTGTTTCTGTGGCTGCTCAAGGAGAGGAGTCCTTCCTCTGCTTCATCGTGGGCTTCCTCCCATGGGAGACAGTTTTCCATTAACTTCTCCAACATGAGTCTACCTCACGGGCAATGGTTCTCTGTTAACTGCTGCAACGTGAGTCCATCCCATTGGCAACAGTCCTCCCCAATTTGCTGTAACATGGGTCACTCTTGACAGGTTGCAGTCCTTCAGGGACAGGCTGCTACAGTGTGGGTCCCCCACGGGCTCACAACTCCTACCAGGAGCCTGCTCCAACACAGGCTTCCCACAGGTTCACAGCCTCTTCCTAGGCATCCACCTCCTCTAGCATGGATCTCCTCCATGGGCTGCAAGTGGATATCTTCATCCCCATGGACCTCCATGGGCTGCAAGGGCACAGCCTCCTTCACCATGGTCTTCACCACAGGCTGCAGAGGAATCTCAGCTCCAGTGCCCAGAGCAGCTCCTCCCCCTCCTTCTCTGCTGACCTTGGTGTCTGCAGAGTTGTTCCTCTCACATGTTCTCACCCTGCTCTTTTCTGGCTGCCAATTGCAACTGCACAATACATTTTTTTTTTCTTCTTCTTAAATCTGTTATCACAGAGGCATTACCACCACTTCTAATTGGCCCAGCCTTGGCTAGCGGCCCATCTGTCTTGGAGCTGCCAGGGGTTGGCTCTGCCAGACATGGAGGAAGCTTCTAACAGCTTCTCTGAGAAGCCATCCCTGTAGTCCCCCTGCTACCAAAGCCTGGCCATATAAACTCAATAAAACTAACAACTTCATTTCTTTCACATAAGTTTATTACATCTTACTAGCAAACTGTTTGCATTATGCAAAGCTAATTTATAAATGCATAGACATGTATAAAGGAAAAAGAAAAAATCCCAGTTTCACTGTTCAAACATGAGTCTAAAAGAGATCTATAAAACATCAAAGATCATAAAGAACAATTTATCATAATGCTGTAATTAACCCCATGCAGCAAGGGGTTAGGCTTGGGGAAGAGTGGCTGGAAAGCTGCCTAGTGGAAATGTTATGCTAACAAACAGGGAAGGCCTTGTTGGAGATGTGAAGGTTGGGGGCAGCCTTTGCTCTAGTGACCATGAGATTGTGGAGTTCAGTATTGGGCAAGGAGGAAGCAGGGCAGCATGTAAGATTACAACCCTGGAGTTCAGGAGAGCTAACTTTAGCCTCTTCATGGATCTTCTTGGATGAATCCCATGGAAACAGACCCTGCAGGGAAGAGGGGTGGGTCCAAGAGTTTTGGTTGATATTCAAGGATTGCTTCCTCCAGGCTCAAGAACAATGCATCCCGATGATGAGCAAGAAATCGGGTACAGGGGGCAAAAGACTTGCCTGGATGAATTAAGAACTCCTGTCGTTACTCATGCAAAAGGAGAAAACACATAGGAGGTAGAAGCAGGGTCAGGCCACTTGGAATGAATATAGAGAGGTTGTCCGAGTAAGTAGAAATGAGATGAAGAAGGCCAAGGCCCATCTGGAATTAAGTCTGGCCAAAGATGTCCAGTATAACAAAAAGGGCTTTTTCAAATACATTAATAACAATAGGAAAACAAAGGATAATGTGGGCCTATTCCTAAATAGACAGAGGACCCTGGTAACAGAGGACACAGAGAAGACAGAGGTACTGAATGCCTTTTTTGCATCAGTCTTCACTAATAAGACCAACCCTCAGGGATCTCTGACCCAGGAGAGCAGGGTAAAGGAATGATGGGAGGAAGACATTCCCTTGGTCAAGGAGGATTGGGTCAGAGAACACCTAAGCAAACTGGACATCCAAAAGTCTGTGGGCCCTGAGGGGATGCATTGAGAAGTGCTGAAAGCACTGGCGGACATCATAGGGAGGCCACTCATGATCATCTTTGAAAGGTTGTGGAGATCAGGAGAGGTGCCTGAGGGACTGGAAGAAAGCAAATGTCACCCTGGTCTTCAAAAAGGGCAAGAAGGGGGACCCAGGGAATTACTGACTAGTCAGTCTCACCTTAATCCCTGGAAAGGTGATGGAGTGCCTCATTCTGGACGCCATTTCTATCCACATGGAGAACAAGAAAGTGATAAGAAGCAGTCAGCAAGGATTCACTAAAGGGAAGTCATGTTTGACCAGCCTGATAGCCTTCTAAGATGAAACAACTACCTGGATAGATGAGGAGAGAGCAATGGATTTTGTCCACCTGGACTTCAGCAAGGCTTTCAACACTGTCTCTCACAACATCCTCATAGGCAAACTCAGGAAGTGAGAAATGAATGAGGGGACAGTGAAGTAGGTTGAGAACTGGCTGAACAGTAGATCCCAGAGGGTCATGATCAGTGCCACAGGGTTCAGTTGGAGGCCTATCATTGGTGGTGTCCCCCAAGGTTCAATACTGGGCCAAGTATTGTTTGCCTCTTCAGCAAGTTCAATGATGCCACAAAGCTGGGAGGAGTGGCGGATACACTACAGTGCTGTGCAGCCCTTCAGAAGGACCTTGACAGGTTGGAGAGATGAGCAGACAGGAACCATCTGAAATTCAACAAGAGCAAATGCAGGGTCCTGCACCTGGGGAGGAATAACCCCGGGCATCAGCACAGGCTGTGGCTGACCTACTGGAAAGCAGCTCTATGGAGAAGGACCTGTGGGTCCTGGTGGACAACAAACTGTCCATGAGCCAGCAGTGTGCCCTTGTGGCCAAGAAGGCCAATGGTATCCTGAGGTGCATTGGGAAGAAGATTTACATCAGGTCAAGGGAGGTGATCCTGCCTCTCTACTCATAGAATCACAAAATGGCATGGGTCGAAAGGAACCTTAAAGATCATCTAGTTCCAACCCCCCTGCCAAAGATAGAGACACATTTCACTAGACCAGGTTGATCAGAGTTCCATCCAGCCTGGCCTTGAACACTTTGAGAGATGGGGCATCCACAAGTCTTCTGGGCAATCTGTTCCAGTGCCTCACCACCCTCACAGTCAAGAATTTCTTCCTAATATCTAGTCTAAACCTACTCTCAGTTTGAATCCATTGTCCCTTGTCCTGCCACTCCATGCTCTTGTAAAAAGTCCCTCTCCATCTTTCTTGTACGTGCCCTTCAGGTACTGGAAGGCCACAATTAGGTCATTCCAGAGACTTCTCTCCAAGCTAAACAAACCCAATTCTCTCAGCCTTTCCTCATAGGAGAGGTGCTCCATTCTCTTAATCAACTTGGTGACCTCCTCTGGACTTGCTCCAACAGGTCAATGTCCTTCCTGTCTTGGGGACCCCAGAGTTGGATGCAGTACTCAAGGTGGGGTCTCACCAGTGCAGAGGGGCAGAATCACCTCCCTCAACCTGCTGGCCATGCTTCTGATGCAGCCCAGGACATGGTTGGCTTTCTGGGCTGCCAGCACACGTAAGATCATGTCTAACTTCTCATCCACCAGCACCCCCCAAGTCCTTCTCTATTCGTATATGATCCCAATATTACTGGATGGAACGTGCCTGGGCTTATCCGGCCCTTGCTGCTTGACCAAAGGCGGCAGTTGTGGTGTTTCACTTCAGAGACACCTTTGGCTGGCTGTATGTTGCAGCTGGCACTTGGAACAAGTCCAGGCAAACAGGAACTCAGGTTTACCTCTAGTGGAAAGGTTTTAGGCGAGGTGAAGGAAAAGGAGACGGATTCTGCCATAGGGTTTAATCCAGAGTTTTATTCCAGGGTCACAGATCTCTGAATCTTGTAACAGCTACAACAGAATACCAACCGCATGGTCCCGTATCTTTTTAAGCCTGGGGAAAGGGGGAGGGGAAGGGGTAGGTGTGCCACCAACCAGGTGGGAGGGGGGGAGTCTCAGAGGACAATGACACCTAGATGGGCCAATGACCCCAGGGCTGAGAAGCATCTTTTGGACTTCACCAACCAGATGACGCCCTTGCTGGAATGTTAAGATTGACGGACAGCACTTAGCAAGGGGGCAAGGATGAGGGGAAGGGAGAGGTTGGCACACCTGAGGGACTGGGAAAGGTGAAACAGGATATTGCTTCACACCACAACACTTCTCATCAGGGCTGCTCTCAATCAGTTCATCCCCAAGCCTGGATTGATACTGGGGATTGCCCCAACCCAGATGCAGCACCTTGCACTTGGTCTTGTTAAATCTCATGAGATTCCCATGTGCCCACTTCTTGAGCTTGTCCAGGTCCCTCTGGATGACATCCAGTCCTTTAGGTGTACCAACCACAGCACTGAGCTTGCTGCCATCAGTCCTAATGAGGCCACATCTGGAGTGCTGTGTCCAGTTCTGGGCTCCTAAGTACAAGAGGGACATGGAGATCCTGAAGCGAGTCCAGCAGAGAACTAAGTTGATCACGGGTCTGGATAATCTCTTTTACGATGAGAGGCTGAGACAGTAGGGCCTGTTCAGCCTCAAAAAGAGATGACTGAGAGGGGACCTCATCAATGTATATAAATATCTAAAGGGTGGGTGCCAAGAGGCTGGAGTCAGGCTCTTCTTGGTGGTGCCAAACAATAGGACAAGACACAATGGGCAGAAACTGATGCCCAGGAAGTTCCATCTGAACATGAGGAAGAACTTCTTTACTGTGCAGGTGACCATGCACAGGAACAGATTGCCCAGAGCGGTTGTGGAGTCTCCCTCACTGGAAATATTCAAGAACCACCTGAATGCAATCCTGTGTAATGTGCTCTGGGATAACCCTGTTTGATCAGGGAGGTTGAACCAGAAGACCCCATTGCGGTCCCTTCCAACCTTACCCATTCTGTGAAAAGGACCTGGGGGTGCTGGTCAACAGCAACTGAACATAAGCCAGCATGTGCCCAGGTGGCCAAGAAGGCCAATGGCATCCTGGCTTGTCTCAGCAATAGTGTGGCCAAGAGGACCAGGGCAGTGACCATCCCCCTGTACTTGGCACTGGTGAGGCTGCACTTGGAATCCTGTGTTCAGTTTCGGGTCACTCACAACAAGAAAGACATTGAGGTGCTGGAGTGTGTCCAGAGAAAGGCAATAGAGATGGGGAAGGGTCTAGAGCAAAAGCCTGATATGGAGCAGATGAGGGAGCTGGGGGGGAGCTCAGTGTGGAGAAAAGAAGGCTCAAGGGACTTTATTGCTCTCTACAACTCCCTGACAGGAGGTTGTGGTGAGGTGGGCATTGGCCTCTTCTCCCAAGTAACAAGTGACAAGACAAGAGGACATGGCCTCAAAACATTTGTTTCACAGAAAGGGTTGTCAAGCATTGGAACATGCTGCCCAGGGAAGTGTTAGAATCACCATCTCTGGAAGTGTTCAAAAAACATGTGGATGTGGCACTTGGGGGCATGGTTTAGTGGTGAACACAGTGGTGCTAGGTTGATGGTTAGACTTGGCGATCTTAAAGGCCTTTTCTAACCTTAACCATTCTATGATTCTATTAATGTCTCCTGTAGAATAACAGCCCTATCTAAATGCCAAATATTTGATTATTTTCATTAATATACTTTCCTTAAGCAATAGCTGTCATCAGGACCTCATTTTTAAATAAAACACAGAATGCTAAGAAATTGTAAGCAATTATTTCTGTAGGAAAGAAAAGAGAGGGAAAACCGACTAAATAAATAGTTATCAAAGCAATGCAACCATGTACCAAAATACTTATTGAAACCACATACAGGATGAAAGCATTTAAATTCAAGATCATTATAGTTCATAAAAATTGTTGAAGACTGAAAAAAGCACATAATTTTGCAAGCAACTTCTTTTCCTGATATACATTTTCCATCTGAGCTAAAAATACTAACCTGAGCTCTTTTTTCTCTAAGTTCCTGCTGCTGTAATCTTCTTTTTTCACGTTTCTCTTGCAGTTTTTCAACCTCTTTTACACAATTGGACTTTCTACGTGCTTAAAGAAAATATAATTGAAAAATATTTTTAATGTTGCATGAATTTAGTATTTATACCATAATATTTCAATTTTATTATTTATGAATAATTAAAATTAATTCATTTATATCAAGTATCTTTTCAAGCATATCAGTATTAGGACAAAATAATTACAGCAATTTAATTTCTAAAATGTATATAATAAATGAATGCAAAAAAGCCATACTAATGGGACAATCATTACAGAACCAAAAACAGAGCAACGACCCTCAAAAAATATTTGGATGTGATGATATTTGGATACATGTGATCTCTTGGTGTGAATTAAAAGAAAGCCCAGGTAAATGAAAAAAACCCCACTGTCATAGTTAAAAAGAGATAAATGAAAAATAAATTTGACACAAAGAACAGCTATGACAAAAGTGAACATTTCTTTAGCCACAGAACTCTGAAAAAGCTTCTTGAGGAAGCCTACAGGCAACTGCATATAGAGAACATTTGTCATTTATGGACAACAACATAATTGAAAAAAATGTACATGTAATGCCTGCCCAGAATGAATCCTTGATACATGGTTTACATACAAGGGGGTCCGAATTCCTTTTTTGCAGCTTGAACTGGAGATATATCTGAAAAACTACCATTCTGTTGTGAGGAGGAAGACTGTTCAGGAAGCTGAGTAGGTCGTGTGTGTGCAGAACCAACCACTGCAAATGAAAAGCACAAAGCTCATCTAGATATGGAAGAGTAACATTTCTATCCGATAGTGCAATGCTTTATGACAGGATAAAAAGAGGCCCCTTTCAAGACACAAAAAATTATTGAGAGGAGGGAAGGGGGGAGCCATACATGTAAAAAATCTATTAATAAAGACATTCAGTATGCATCTTCTTTTATCCTAGTGTTATACACCAATACAACATAATTAATAAGTACCAATTCTGCATGTGCATATTTTTAAACACTCCCCTACATAATTAATAGAACGTATTAGGTGCATAAAATTTATTATGTACTTGGAGAGATGCAGTTTTGAAGTTTAAAGCACTGAAATTTTATTTATATTGTAATTATGCACAAAAACCCAGTAAAAAAAGGACTCAGTTTCACATTCTCTAGCTGTTACAAAACGGTCCCACCCCATTGAACCTACAACATGTGGATGAATAGAGTGATAGAAATGAAAGGCAGCAAAGCACAGTTTAATCTATAAGTGGAATAAACAAGCCTTTTTGACACTATTCTGGAAAGCTAAACTTATTGATTCTATGATATGTGATAATGGACTCTAATTTCTGAAGATGCAGAGTGATGTCTGTTCCCAGTGAATGAGGTGAGAGTGGCATGCATGCAAGCCTCTTTGGTAGAGCTGAATGTTTTGTTTTTCAGAGTTGCTTCAAGCAGTTCTGCTTCAGATGGCCATTTTCCTATACATGTTCCTAACAAGATCTGCCAGAAGAGTACAAAAGTGAAGGTAACACTTTTGATTAGTAGCCTGGAGATGACATTCCAAATGAAGACCAGCACACTGCAAAATGGAGAAAACTATGGAAACAGGCATCAAATGGGATAGAGAAAACAAATCTCCAGATCATCCCAAATATGATAGGAGATCTAGCTTATAGCATGAATTAACTACACTAAACACGACAGTGTGCTGAGAAAAGTTTAATTATAAGGCCAACAAAGAACAAATACTTAGTCCAACTGTGAATAGTAAGATGCACAGGACTGTGGCAGCAGCTCTCTGGCCACAGAGAGCAGGCACAAACTTTCCCAGACATTTTCCTGGGGAAGGCTGTGAGAAGATCAGAGGAAAAAAATGAGAAACAAGTCTTATCTCCGCTTGCTGCACCTGTTGTTGTGCACATGTGGAATGCATTATGGAGATTTGTTTACCAAAGGGTGATTTCTTAATTGGACACTGGATGGTGTTTGGATGGATTGACCAATTAGATCAAAGCTGTATTGGACTGTCTGTAAGGGTTACAAGCTTCTTAATAAGTATAGTATAGTATAGTGTAGTATAGTATAATATAGTATGCTATAATAAAGCAATTGATCAACCTTCTGCAATCATGGAGTCAATGCTAATTATTACCCAGCTGGGGGCCTGCGGCGACACAGGACCTATTAAAATATAAGCTACAAGGTTATTCCATACAAAACAGACCGTTTACTACAAATGATGACATATACGTATGTGAGGAAAACCCACCAAGAAGATATCTCAAATTTAAACCATACTCGTTTGAAAAAAATTCCCCTTTTCATGAGATTTCTGATTTAACACCCCCAGAGGCAAATGGCAGAAAGTGATCCCAATCATCCACCAGAGGAGTCTGAACACATAAAAAGATGTACAAAACCACTTGTTTTACAAGCTTAAACAGATGTAATGGAATCTAGCCTGAGTTAATGACGGTAGATTAACATTTGGAAAAAGAATCATTACCATCATCAGTACAAGCTAACTTTAATGCAAGAGAGAAAATGGAAACTGTTATAGATAGATAATGAGATTATTGGCTCTCGCAATTAAGGGATGAATATTGTATGAATATTAAAAGAAGCTTTACTGATGTATAATTATGTTATTGTAGTTTAGATGTCCTCTGTTCTCACCAATAAGCCATAATCCCCCCCCCCTCCCGTATTGTTGCCATCAGACAGCCTGGGTTGTCTAGGACAGGTAGAAAGAAGGCATGCACATGTGCCCCTTACATGGGGCAGTTTGGAATGGAAAAGCTTGTTGCTAGGGGGGTGCAGCATGACGACACCTGACCCTCTAATCAAGTTACAAGGAAGCAGTCTCCATCAATAAATGGCAAAGAAGAGTTGACTGACAGACTTTGGGAGGGGCCAGGGTTGGCTGATGCAACCCCCAGGAGTATAAAAGACTGAGCATCCATCTTGAAGAGGAGCCAGCCATGTGGTAGGCAGCTACAAGGGCAGTTCCCAGCCCTGAAATTTTTCCTTATGTAGTCCTTTTGTTGTATTTTTGTTAAGGTTTAATAAATGTTTAAAATGTTAAAAGTGAGTGGTCATTTCTTAAAGAATGGGGCCTCGTCCGGGATATAAAGCTTCTTCTCACATGGCCCAGGAGATTTCGGACTAATGGTGCCCCTGCTGATTTTAGCAGATTGAATGACTTCTCTTGGGACCATCAGAGACAGGAAAGGACTATATAACGAAAAAGAAGAAAGAGAAGGATCTAGAAGATTGTGAGTATAAGTGTGTGTATGCCTGAAGTGTGAGTGAGGTAGTTTTGGGAGTGTGCTTAGGGTAAAAGATTCTCATAATTATTTTGACCAGAATATAGTTCTGTAATTCCAGTATATGAACGTGAGCGATGCATTAGTAATATACGGTTCCGTCCTGATCGTTTGAAGCTTCAGGATAATGGACGGTTGGAAGCAGGGTGGGACACGTAAGAGAAGAAGGGGGGGCCCCTGTTGTCTGCTAGACAGGCATGGAAGAAGGGCAGAAACGTGGCAGGCGGGATGCATAAAAGACAAAAGCAGGGACCCCTAGCCTGGCGGGATGTGTGAGATTGAAAGATTTGTAAGAGCTCAAGAGCACTTGGAGGTTGCCAAGTTGAGAGCAACAATGTTAAAGTGATAGCGAAAGTCACCATTCAGTAGAAATGGTGCTCATCTTGGGATAGGTAGTTGAGGTAACTTTCCCAGCCCATGGGTAGCGGGGAGGGGAAGGACTGCATGGCTACCCCACATGGAGCAGCGGTGCATTGAGTGCAGTGAGCTTCTGGTGCGCTAGCAGCGCAATAACTTCCAGAGCTTATCAGCCAAAACACACACCTGCCCATGGTGACTAAGTGGTGGCCGGCGCCAGCAGGGCCATCGCTCGGGACAAGCCAAGTGCATGGGGTTCCCCAGGTTGGGACTGCGGGAGAGGGCAAGCGGGGTTTTGCGGGGCCGCTATGGTGGTTCTCCTGACCCGCTGGCAGGGAGGAGTCCAGGGGCCATCTCCCTGGAGTGGTGTTCGCAGCCGAGCTCAGCACTGCAGGTTTACAGTACGTGCCAACCCTGTGAGGATGGGGGAAGGCCAGTGGGGCCATAGTGCAGAGATTACATGTGGCGCTGCTGGCGATTGGAGACCTGCCAGGATGTGGGTGTCCCCAGGCCGAGGTGCAGGGTCCACCATGGCTCCCCTGTGGAGCAGTGAGATCGAGACACTACATGGGTGATGGCACCCAGAGGCGACGGAGGGCCATGGGCAGCAAGAGGGCTGCCGGCTGCGACTGGAACAACTTTCACTGAATGCATGGGGTTACCAAGCCAGGGACCGCGCGGGCCCGCATGGGCAGTAGCAGGCCAGGGGAGTCCGACGCGGTGGTTTTCAATGGTGCCAACCCGACAGGGGTGACCGCGGTGGTTGGAGGCCCTGGAGCCTGGACCCTCTAGTCTGCCGGTGTGGGCTGCCGGCAGTGGGGGCCACACTCTCGTGGACCGAGAGATTTGGATGCGCTATGTGCGCGGTGCTGCTGAGGGTCGGGGGCGGGCTCAGTTGTGTGAGGACCTTGCGGACCACAGTGATCACTAGCATGGCGAGGGTGTCGTGACGTGTTCTGCATGAAGACTACTGAGAGTTCAAAACTCCTGGCTGTACAGGGGCTTCTCTGCAACACACCACTGTGGGGCAGAGCAGACACGGAGCAGGGACGCGCGAAGGCGCAGTGCCAGTTCAACGGGGAGGGAGTGGCGGCTTAGGATGCAGGGTGCAATCGCGTCTGGCACGACAAGCAGTAGGTGCCTCTTGGGGGGGTGACCCGGGCATTGTGGGCTCACCTGTATGGAGCTGCCTGCAGCGAGTCAGGGATGCCGGGGGCAGTTGTGCCCGGAAGGGCTAATGCAGGGCATCAGGCTGTGGAGACTCCCCTGCAATGTTCAACAGCGTGGAACCGCGTGAACACGAGAGCACCACGGGAGCAGCTCAGCAGCTGCTTCCACTGATGTTCTGAGAATATAAGCTAATGATTTGCTTTTATTTTCCAAGAAGAAGGCAAAGCTTCTTCTTTCTTTTTTCTCTCTTTTCTTTCTTTCTCTCTCCTTTTAACTAATCAGGGAGACAGGGTCTGTCAGGAGAACCTGTAGTTAGAATTAACTGTGAGCCGCCCTCCACAATGATAGGGATCTCAAGTATCCCCCCCTTTTAGTTAAAAGGTAAGAAGTATCCCTTGACAAAACACAATAGTGTAGCTGTGTAAAGGGTGGAGAATACCATAACCTATTTATTTACTCTTTGAACAGTATACTTATAGGCATTTCTTATTCACTGTCACATATTTAGATGTTGTGCATTACTAATAGGTTTTGTGTGGATGTGACAGCCTGGTCAGAGAGTGAGAAAATGAGATTAGTTTTCTCACAGCAGACTTGCGAGACTTTTTAGGGAGTTGTAGAGAAATGATGATAACTTATTAGTATAAGCAACCTGCAAGTGGTGTTTTCCTACTCTGTTTTTCTGTTCTTCTCAAGGACTGTTTCTGAGAAAAGTGCTTTTGTTAATTAGCCAATCACGTGGAATGTATCAGAACTGTCTATAAAAAGAGAAGAGTTTTTCACATTAAATCTGCTGTTGTGCAAATCAGCCTGCTTGGAGTCTGTGCCGCTTTCTTACTCGATATCGACATCTGGTGACCAACAACGTGTATTGCACCAATTGGCCCCTCATGGATCACAGGACG